CTTTATTTTACAGTTAAAATACTGTATATGTTTATCAAATAAAGTCTGTTACAACTAACCGTGGATCCCTTTAAAGTTAAAGTTTCATCTGAAGGAACCAGATGTTTATTGCACAGAGCACAGGTAGTGAGCCACACGTTGGCCTTTAAATGCAGCAATGAAACCTGCTTCTTTACCTCCAGAGTCCTCATAAAAAAAATATTTTTTCACCAAGACTTGCTTTTTTCCAGGAACAGTCAGGGGAGCGCAGGATTTAATTTGACGATTTGCTGCCAGATCTGATAAATGGAAACAATGAAAGAGAAGAATGAGTTGTGTTTGTCGGCAGACATGAATAAGTCTATAAACAGATTTTTAGTTAAAAAGCTGAAATGTTTTCGTCTTGCGGGTGCTTTCTGTTTGTTGGGCAGAATATTCAATCGTTCTGATTCTTGGTGAACTTCAGAAGCTCCGTAAAACATATCGCTGCTTCATTTAGTTTGAGCAGAAAAGGCTTCAAACAGAATTTCCTAACATAGTCGAGGACTGTTTTTGGTTTTTGAAGACTTTAGACTTACTGAGTTATCACAGTTATAAAAGTTGCAGATGTTTCTTGCGTGTAAAATATCCGTGAGTAAATGTGCACCTCAGAGAGCGAAGCTCGAACAGCTCACCGCTGCAGGAAGCTGTGAAGAGCGAGCGAAGGTGACCTGTTGGCAGCTGATACGGAGTGACACGTTCCACCTGACAGCGGAGCGGTGTGCACACTCCACACCGAACACGACTGCGGATCCTCACTGACGTGGAGTCGACGTTCACTCCTCTCGCTCGCTGCTGTAACACAAACTGACTTCATGTCAGGTCTGACTTTTATCTTGGCGGGTGAGCAGCAGAGCAGACTGGTGAGATTTCACTCTGTGACGAACCACTGGTTTGTTTATCAGATTCCAGACTCTGGTTCATCATCTTAACAACAACATGACTCATTCAATCATAAAACTGGACTTTTGTTCTCCGCCTGATAATCATTCAACCCATTCTCACTCTCAACTCGTCACATATTGATGCTTGGTCAGGTTCCCTCTGCGTCCGGTTTTGACGTGTCGGGTACCCCCTTGCATCAGTTGTTGACGACATGGGGCCGAGTCCGTTCTCGTAATTTCAGAAAGTGTAGAAAATGCACAAAATCTGACCGTCCCAAACCCTAAAATTACCTTTATCCACTCTAGACATCCTGTCYCTGACCCTAGTACCTAAAATTAACCATCAATCCTGATCCCTAATATTAACCATTTTTAGAAAGTGTAGGAAATTCACGTCAACTACGTGTCCCAAATCTGAAAATTACACCCGCTTGGGATGTTACCATCCATGAAATGGACGTTATTAGGCGTTATCAGTACCCTAGAATGGCTTCAGAATGTCCCGCCTGTGCCGGTTAGCAGGTTTCCCGATTTTCAGCTGGTTAATATGAGGCATAAAGCCACTATCTGGTTAATATGAGGCAATAAAACTACTATCTGGTTAATATGAGGCATAAAGCCACTATCTGGTTAATATGAGGCATAAAAAACTGGTTAATATGAGGCTTAAAGCCACTAAGGTTAGCTTTAGAGTAAATGACATGGTTACCACAAASGCACCACTCTCCAAAGGCTRTATATTGTGGCCTTCCAATAGGGCAATGGGTAGAGTGTCGGACCAGAGAGCGGGAGACCAGGGCCCGAGACTGATACGGACACAAAAAATTTACTACAATCTTTTGGTTATTTACACATTCATTGTCATTGATATATTAAACCACTAGGGGGCACTGTCGGGACAGTCTGAAGCCCAGAAGGCACAGTAGGGACCCTCTGAAGCCATTGTATGGGACTGATAATGCCTAATAACATCCATTTCATGGACTGATAACATCAGAATCCCCTAAAAATTACCTAATATTTGCTCTAGACATCCTATCCCTGACCCCACTACCTGAAATTAACCATGAACCCTGATCCCTAATATTAACCACGAACCCCAACTCAAAGACCCCTTTATTTTGCATCCTGACGCATCAAAAACCAGATACCAAGAGAATAGTGCGTCAATAACTGAGKCGAAGGGGTTACCCGATGTGTCAAAATAAGACACAGAGGGAACCTGACCAAGCATCAATATGTGACGAGTCGGCAGTGAGAATGGGTTATCAAATCAGAAGTTTTGGAGCAGAGGAAAAAGTAAAACACGCAGGGCTGCGGGCGGCCCTCCAGGACCAGGATTGCCCACCCCTGAACTAGAATGAACCAGTCTGGAGGCTGGAGTGGGGGCGGGGTGTGAAGCCCCTCTTTTGAGCCTCAAAACCAGTTGATCTGAGACACACCCCAGAAAAGGGGCGGGGCTTGTGGAGTTACAATAAGGAGGAATTCAGCCCAAAGCGTTGCAGTTCCACTTTATAAAGACCCCAACTGTAGGATTTAAATGTGAAAAAGAAGGATTTAAAAGCATTATGTGTCTACTTTAACCTACAGTTGTATTTTTTTTGTCAGTCGGACTTTATTTAAAAAAATATTTGTTCTTYTAACTTTCAGAGTGCTGTATCCCATCTCCATAAGAACATATCCTTGTTAAAGCTTCAGTTCTCTGTTATTAGTCTGCTTACAGATAAAACCACAGCTGTTCCCGTGAGGTTGTTGCATAGATCTATAAGATAATCCTGCCTGGTTTGAGCGTGCTCGTGCAAAAAACCGTCAGAATCCATGAGATCAGACACCGTCGCTGCAAACTTTACTTTGTCCCAGCAGCATTAAAGTTTCTGTTTGTTTTTTTGCAGCGTCTGTGTCGGTGATTTATAAAGTAACAGAACCGTGATGCTGGAGAGCTTCAGTCCCAGCGGAGTCTGTTTTGACTCGGTGCGGGATCTACATCAGCTGTGCTCATACTGAAAAAACAATGTGCATGCATCATTTTCTACCATCTCTATTCAACTGTCTGCCATGAATCAGAGGAGGCGTCACAACAAGTCGTGTAAAGCAGATTAAAAGCTGGTTTTCTGTTGTTTTGTTGTTCTGCTGTCAGCATCGTCCCACAGTAAACCTGCACTCATCTGTGAAATGTCATCGATCCATGAGGGAGATCGTCTTTTGTTCCTTAATGTTCTCCCCTTAAAGAAACTCAAACAGGAACCTGGGGCAGGTAGAGAAAACAGGGCGGCATCACCCACGAGACGTGAAACAAACGTTTCATGGTGGGAACATCTGGATGAAACAAACACACGTGCTGATCCATTAAAATTAAAGCATCGAGCAGCGAGCACGGAGCTATCAATAATGCATCGCAGCCTTGAGCAGAGGATGGAGTGAAACTAGGCTGTTTGTAAAATACACACTTTTTTGTATATTTAATATGGAAGCTGTGAGAAAAAATCTGTTGCATAAAGAAAACATGAACAGATAAAAGGAAGCAGGGGAAAAAAAGCTGCTGGCTCGTTACTTTTTGGGAGCGCTGAGCGTGCAGAAACACWGCGTAAAATGTGTGCGAGCGCACGGCGCTGAACACCAACGACTGGAGGATCTGTCAGCAAAAACACAAAAGACTCATCAACAAACAGCTAAATATGCTTCTGTACACACCAGATATATAAAAGTAAATATATTTAATTGGTTTTTATCATTTGAAGATAAACTGCATATTTACAAAGCACTAAATACAGATATATAATGTATTGTATGTTGTTGTTTTTTTTACTTTATTTCTGTTTAAAAATCAAAATAAATTCTATATTCAATAAAAAAAAGTACAAATAAAAGGAAAGGCAACAGAAAGAAGAAAAAATTTTTACATCTGCCCCTTTTTTCCATTGGACCACAATGGAAATAAACTCACCGGCCACTTTATTAGGTACACCACGCTAGTAACGGGTTGGACCCCCTTTTGCCTTCAGAACTGCCTCAATTCTTCGTGGCATAGA